TTTTGGGAAAAAGCGATGAGAGAGAGCAGAGATGAGTTTTTCTATTAAAACTAAAGTTTGCGATAATATATGTGATTCGGAATATGCTATTCATTTCTCTATCAGAATAGGCGATGATGAGAGAAACATCCAAAGAGGAAGACATTTTAAACAGTTTTGCATACTTTTGTTACCAAAGTCAAGGAAATACAATTCTCTCAAAAATCGAATAAAGTCTAAAAAAGACAAATAGGTATGCTTAAATACATTAAACGATGTAGAATTGCCAAGACTTTCAGAAAACATAAATATCATTCTGGAAAGATGAAATTTCACGTGACCAGAGCCGAAAAACTAGAAAATCTTCTTTTTAGAAAATTGTCATTTTCGCCACAACATTGGCATTGCTTGTTAACGAATGGTATTGTAGAGACTAATGAGCTGCCCACTATTGTAGAGAAAACATTTCTGAAGCTTTTCAGACATCTTCAAATTTGATCAAGCGAGCAAATGCAGTGAAAGTACAAAATACTAACAACAGCGTCTAAAAAACGATTTTTTCATTAATGATCAAGAGTAGTGACACTTGTATGTTAGAGCATTTTTCACAGGCGCAGCACGAAAAGCTATTTTTTTCTATTAAGTTATTCTAATAATGACCTATCGTTTGAGATAATAAAATTGGAAATCAGAATTCTAGTTGCGGTCGGCTCACACAAAGTTTTTAGGTCTTCTGGTAGACCTACCCTTAAGTTTTTCTGTTCTTGGTACGAAAATGAGAACTTTCGATTTACAGGGTAAAATCCTATGAAAATTTACTCAAATTCAGTCATTTTAACCATCACACTGTCAGAGAAGATTAAAATAAAGGTCATCTTCGAGATCAAGTGGAGAAAATGACATCAGATCACATCAATTTCACCGAAATACTTTTCCAAACAGCAATCCATCCTTGCTGTCCGCAGGCAAACTTTCTTGAAAAATTGATCAGAGAAGACATACACAGGAGTTCTTGGTGAGAAAAGTGTTTCGTCAAAATGTATGTGGTTCGATACAATTTTTCAAGCTAACTTCGAATATGATATTTATGTCTCTCTGTTCTTATACTGTCAGATCAGAATGACGGAAGACTTGAAAAACTAAATAGGTAAATGTTACAGCTCATTCTCGAGAGGTTCTAATGAAGTAAGACACTTAACTACGTCTCGTATTACAAAATGGTTTGTAATGTTTGGGCAATAAAAATAGTGAAAAAATAAGTTTTTCCCATATAAGCGGTTATAATTCATTTCTATACACTTTACTTTTTTTTGGATTTGTTTTTTTTAGAAGACAATAGAAGAAATCGAAAACTATATATTCGTGATCAGCACATCAAACTCTGTCCCATAATGTATGAATAAAATCAAAACCATATCCACTCGAATTTTTCATTTTTGACATTTCACATGCGCGTTGCTACACATATTAATCAAAGTCGTTAGGTTTTCCTTATTATTTTTGTATTAAAATGATCAATAAATAGATCAAGAATATAAGAAAATGAATAAATACAGTAAACTTCATCTTGTTACGAGACCATCATTGCGTTACGTTGATTAAACTGATCATCATCAAAACAAAGTCTCTTTCAACGATTCTTTTTTCGTCGGATACTTCAAACTGTCGGCTACAAAAAGTTTATGAAATGGTTCTTTTAACGTGGCACACATTCACAGAAAAATAAAGAAGCAAGACATTAGCGTTAACTTTTTATCCCCTTTTTTCATCATCATGTTACGTCATATATTTTTGCTATGATTTTTCAAACGCCTCATTCAAACGAGCTCATCTCTTCAGAAGTCTTTAGAGAAAACAGAGGCACATCTTCTAACGAAAGAAAAACCTTTCTAGAAAAGATCAGTGATAATCATATTGAATTAATCAATAGAGTTCATCAATAGACGTTTTGTTGTTAATGAAAAACTTCATCCAATAATTGATAAAGAATTTATTTATGTTCAAAAATTGTTTACAAATAATGTTATTGAAGTCTAATTTAAAGTTGTTTTCAATATCAATAGAGCAACACAAGTTCTCTCGATTTTTATCATATTCATTTATTTTTCTTACTTGAAAGTCCCATAATACATGAAGCACATATAACTTATAGACATGCAAATAAAAAACACATATTATTAATCGAAACAACAACACAAGTGGTAAAGATTGAATATTTGATGTCTATTCTTAGGTCAGTCTGTGATAATGACTGTTACACAAAAAGATTATTCAAATAAATAATGATATTAACACGGTCTTAAAAAAGGGAATGTTTCGAGGTTACAAAAAAGCTTTTGAAAAGACTTTCACATGATTCGATAGTGCCTTGTTCCATTCTCTATCAAGTATACTGTATTAGAACAAACAATACAGTAAAATGATTTTAACACGATAAGAAAGCCATGAAGAAACCAATGAGGCTGACGCATAAGAACTATGAATTATATTTCAATGATCATTGCTTTTATCACAAATTGGTGAAGACGACAACGTTCAATGTGACACTAAAACACCAATATGTTTTTCCAAAACGAAATGCTCAAGTCATGACAACTGAGTGTGTTCTTATGTCATTGATATATAAAATATATCAATTTAATTAGGTGATTTCTTATCTTTGATGTTCTATTTAATGCTATGCTTATTAATCGTTAAACATATAACCTTCAATGAAGTATGGAAAGACAAACGATGATAGATGTTTCTCATTTCTCGTCACAAACTATTTTCTTCCTTTTGTTACTCAAACACATATAACAAATATTAGTCAGAAACAGAAACAAAAATTCCCATATTCAAGCACTAACACAACGAGAGCTTTTGTACATTTTTTGAATCATTTGAATAGTATTATTATAGTACTGACAAAACCACCAACACGGTCATGGATTTTCTTGCATTTTTGTTTTGAATATTTCATTTTAACGAGACAAAATGATACGTCAAAATCAACAGAAAAGAAAGCCAACAACAAATACTATTATTAGGACGATGTGATTTGTGGGCACTTTGTTTAATAGGTCTCGAATAATATTCAAACGAAACATTGCACAAATATTCGACAAGCATGTTCATCATTACTAATTATTACTGAACTTCAGCATCCTGATATTCATACATAAGGATTCGTAACATAGATGATTTACAACAATGTTTTGAAGAGTTTTTTTCCTTTCACTTTTCATGTGATGAAAGTGGCACTGATGTTTATGATCGTGTATCACTTTTTCTTGATGCTTTATTTCGTAGAAATGGATAATAAACATCATCGTCTAACATAATATTATTCTTATTATTTCAAATAGACTATTTATACAATATTTCAATCAGAATATTGATAAGTTAGAAAATGTTAAACCATTAGAAAATTGTGAAATATTTCCATTGACAAAATATAAATGATATCTATATATATCTGATGAATGTAGAAAACTACATCATAAATTATCATAGAAAACCCCCTCAATATTGTTTTTACTTAGTAGGAAACCTTTCCGAATATTTCGTTCGTTTATCTATGATGTTTTTCTTACAGGTATTAGACAGTATTCTAATAAAGTCTTTAAATAAATTTGAGTTCTTATTGAGATTTAGTGGAGCTATTGAATTTCTAATATTTTCTCTTTGTCATAGGTTCATGTAGGATTCTATTTTTTCCAAAACATGATGTTTATGAATCTTGTCTTGAAACTACCACCATTTGAAAATCTCAAATACAGTAGCTTCTGTGTGTGAAGAGTTTCATCGTTTGAAGACTTCGTATCTCCGAACTGTGAGCTTTTTAAAAATAGACAGCCTCTGAAATGTAGTGTATCAGAGAAAAGTATTTTGAAAAGTCTGCATCTTAGAAATATGATGTGTGTACATTTGAGCTCCTATATATGGATATCTTCAAATGGAGATAGTTTCAAGATAAAATAGGAAAAATTTGACTGTTTTTTTTTGAAAATCTGAGGTCTTTCAAAGACTTCTAGCAAATAGACACATTAGAAATTTAATAGGTTTAACGAGTTTCAATAGAAACTCTAATTCATTTAAGATTTTCACTAAAATACTTTGTAATGTTTACAGGCGAAAAATCATCGATAATAAAAGGGCGTTTTGTAAAAGTTTTGTCGTTATGTAAAAATAAAAGTACGGATACTGCAAAAAAAAATTTGTTTAATGTCATCATATGAGCTTTTAGAATGCAGCATCCCTAATTTGTTTACCTATGCAAAAATTCAAGTGTTTTAGTGAAAAGAAAATTAAAGTACATTTACTTTGACAACAGTTAAAATTGGTATTGAAGTTTTAGAGAAAAACAGCAATAACAGTGAATAAGGAATGAAAAAAAAAATCATAGATTTTGTCATGACAGTTTGCTTTATTCCATCGAGCTATTCATTTATATTAGAATTAATATTTATCAAGAATTTCATAAATATAAAAAAGAAATAATATTAACTATTATTATCATTTTGTTCATCATCAAATTTTGATGATTGTTCTTTAGTCTTATTATTAACATCATTCATATTTCTACTGTCTAATTAAAAATATTCAATGATAGAATTTATTGTTCATGTTGAGTAAACGAAACGTCTTTTAAATCAGTTTCAATTCTGACACAAATTCAATTTGTTTTAAAATTAAATGTTAAACTTGATCACGTAATTTGTGATATTTCAAAATTCCATATCTTTCTCTGTCTCTCTCCGTTTTTGTTTCGACTAGCATTCGTCATTCGGTGTGTGACTTAAGAAATTCTTTTTTTTTTGTGCATATTACAATTTATTTTCTTCAGAAAAAAGGTGGGCTGCATTTCTTGCTTAAGCTTTTTTTGTTTTCTTTTCTTTCTTCAAGCAGTATTTCATTCACCTATAAAGGCAGCAGTTATTGATTAATTTACTTCTAGTTTGTTCACGTGTTCGACTATTGATCTGCTAGCATAATTCTATTTACCAAAAGGTTGACGCATTCAAGCAAAAGCAAATATTATGGGTTTTACCGAACGATTTCCTCGATGGATTACATTAGTTATAGGCATTGTTCTAGTGGTAGTAACTGCTGGTATTCTTGGTTTAGAAATAGTTTCAAATTATATTGATGTTGGTCATGGTACAATATGGGTCGGAATTTGGGGCAGTATTATTTTTATCATAACAATTATTCACATGTTTTCTATCAGTAAATATCTTTTTAAATTTCTTCTTTTTGTTATTCTATTTCATTTTGTTTTCAAGCTTGTTGTTGCCGAGGTCGTTGTAATTCCTTTTATGTCTTTATTTTGATCAGTAAGTACCAACTTCTTTTCTTTTTTTTTTTATTTAGTATGCTTTATTTAAAATTCGATTTGTCATTTAGTCATTAGTGGCTTAATGGGTATTGTAATAATTTATTTTGATCAACTTTTTATGAATGACCCATGCAAATGTTATTTGGGTGATACATTATGTTGTTTAGTTCGTAGTGTTCCAACATTTCGTGATAACTTTACAGGTGTTCTTCAGGACTGTAGTAATGCTCTTACAGCAGGTACAATCTCATCAAAAACATGTCCTTCTACACCTTATGATAAAGTAGCGTATGTTCAAGCACAATTAGCTTGTGCTATTGCTATGGTGATTACTTGTATAGTTTATATTGTTGTTTTTCTATTTGCGTGTTTTGGTGTTTGTTTTGGTCATAAATAAGAAGGATTTCTTTTGTATGAGAATACATATGCATATTCCTATCCGTCTAGTGATGACGATTGAACTTTTTTTTATTTTTTGGATAACGAATAATCATGTCTTTGAATTTTTTGCCGTTGCGAATGTCAACAAACATAGTTATAATGGCATTCGATATTTTTTAATGTATTTTTGAAGGATAAAAACGAAACAATTCAACTAAAATAAAAGGTGAAACTATACTTAACAGTTGTGAGCCTCTTATACATTTAAACTAAATACAATGACAGAAACGAAAAAAAAAAGATTTCATTAAAGGAAAGATGAGTAACCAACATTTTTTGAACTCTACAACTTCATCTGAAATTTTCAACTTTATAACCGAAGATATATTTGAGTTTTATGAATTTTAGCTTTTCTTTATACAGTCTTGTATTTAAACAAATACCATTAAGAATAAAGATGAAAAGTTTTCTTGTATAAGTAATCATTAGAGAGAAAGAAAAATAGATGACTAAAAAGTTGAAAGGTAGTAGTTATGAGGTTAAAGTTAGAAGTATTTTTGTTTACTAAAAATTATACAAGAAAAAAGAAATTTACAATTAGGAAGTTTAAGAAAGACGACATCGAAAGAATCATTTCGCAGCAATCTGTATTTTTTACTTAACCCTTTACTTCCTGTTGCGTCATTTTTGACGCATTCGTAGAACGATTGTAGAAAATAAAGGAAGTATAGAATTCGAAAACATTAAAAGCATTTTTCTGTAGTAAACTCCATGAACTATAAGTTCGTAAAAGAAACATTTTTTTTTCGTTGCTCCGTCTCCGAAATACATGACGTACAAAATCGATAAGTTTGAATTTTATTTGTTAGGATTCCGTTTTATTCTTACAGAAAAGATACATCTGAGGTGATGTGAGGTATAATATATATCGATGAAAATGTCTACTAGTGAATTAAATACATTTCGAAAGTTTCTCAATAGGTTTTTGCAAATAACAATGGCAAGATATTTAATAACCCAGAGAGGGACTATTGATCGGTAAAGGAGAAATTATGTACGTCATGCATATATTTTTTTATGAGTCTTATCACATTAGTAGTCGAAAACATATTTATAGTCAATTAAATGTCTTCATTGATAATATTAGTCCAATAAAAAGAAATAGATATTACTTTTGTCTAATCAACTCTATCATAATGGAGCAAAGAAATACGATTTTTCAAATCGTTCTATCTCTCTCCTCTTTCAAATGGTCATTGAAGTCGAATCTGCACAAAGGATAATGCGATTGATCGATCTGATCATACCATTAGCATATTGGGGAGAACAATACTCTATTTGTGTGATCATTTTATTAATAACTCTTCTGGAACCATTTCAGGGTACAAAGAGTTAATGTGAAGTTGGACAGAATTTGACTAGGTTTTCAAGTTAATGTTTTGCTTTTTGAAAACATGATTGTCAATTCCTTATTAGAGTATATGATGAAAGATTTTATTCTATGTTTAAATTGAGATCTTCTTTTGATCACATGACATACTTATTCTCATATTAAAAAAGAAACTGTGCATAATGAATAATTCGAATGTATTCAATAACACACATCTATATATAGCATCAATTTAAAAGACTCGTTCATCCTCTTTTCTCAGTTCTTAAAGGTTTTTTTTGCACCCTATTATCAAGATAAATAATTTAAAACACAAACATGATACACTCAACATTTCAACAAATCAACACAACGAGTGTGGCCATATATATATAATTAGTTACTTCTTTGATTAACTTGAAGTGTCTTATTTTCGTTTTGTTCCCAAAAATAGAGATAGAATTAAGCTCTTTATTTACAAGAATAAAAAATATATTGTAGTAGTTTGTGACAGGTACTCTAGACATATATTCATATTATGTTCTTTATCTACACTACAGTCATGATCGGTAGAGAATTTTCAAACTAGTCCAGTCCGACCGGTTCAAAAAATCTTTTGGGTTAATAAAAATAAATTCAAAAAACATTAATTTCCCTTTTTGCACTCAGGATATTTCTATAATGGTGCGAAAAAAGAATCATTTATCAACCAACTGAGTCCTAAACTCCTAATCTTAAATTTTCTCACTCATGATAGAAATACCTGAATTGTCACTCATCGTTTGAGCTCATATGGAACTCACAAGGAAGTCTCAGTAAGTCTAAAAAAACTCTAAAATGACTTGTGCTCATAAGCACCTGAAGTCGAGTTATCACTATTTTATTGAGCTTTTAATCCATCTTTGTGCATTTACCAAAGAAGTCAAATAATGAAATTTCGATCTGAAATTTTTCTCATATATAAGTCTAATGACTTAGAGAAAATCCCAAAAATTTCAGCTGAGAAGAATCTACCTTTGTCAAGATAGTGACTTTCCAATTGTTGAAAATTCAGTATCTCGCTATAAGGAACATTCTTTTCAGCTGAAATTTTCAGAATATTCTCCTTGTCATCAAACCTCTCTATGAGCACGATTTTGAGATCGAAATTTCGTTACTTGATTCTTTTTATAATTACCTAAAGCTGGATTGAAAATTTAGTAAACCAGTCATAGTTCAGCTCTAAAGACCTATGAGCATGAAGCCTTTTAGTACTTTTCTAGTTTTACTGAGACTCCCTTGCGAACTCAACATGAGCTCAAACAACGGATATTAGTTGGTATAGTACTATCGTCAGCCTTTTCAGACAAAACTAATGTTTCTCTTCGAACAATGATCCAAATTGAAGATCTCTACTAAAACATATATGATAGAATTTTTCTTCAAGTAACACAGTTTTGATTGTGCTTTTGAAGAAATAAAGCAGCGTAGGCGAACAGAAGAAAATAAAACAGATAGTTCTTGAAACAGCACCTATGTAATTATTTTGATACGAGCAAGTAAATTTGGTTGCAACTAGTGTTATCAGAGAAAAATAGCATACTTATAAAATATCTTTTAACTAGTGAAGATCAGTCGGATCGGACATTTTACCACTCTAATCTACGTTGACTTTATCTGCCTTAATTTTAATATTCTGATAAAACTGTAATACTCTTTAAATAGATCATTAATTTATTTTAATAAACTCCATATATATGACTAAACGATTTACTTTGTACGAGTGACATCTGTCTGACAAAAATATCTACTCGTTTATTATTTCATTCAGTCGTTTGCTCGTTCGTTCTGAATCCTTTTTATCTTCATTTTTACTATTGTAGCTAAAGTTTCAATTAAAATTTCATAATGATATCTATGCCATTTACTGTATCAATTGATAATACTCGAATAATTGAACCACAAAATGGTGATGAAAAATATACTGTAAAAATATTTTCTTTTTCTATCAAAAAACTTCTTTTCTTTCCATAGGTTTATCAAATTACTGTACGTGGTGGTTTAAATCATGCATCTCATACAATTGATCGTCGTTATCGTGAATTCGAAGCATTACATACACGTTTATCATCAAATATATCTGTTCCACAATTACCACGTAAAGTTTTATTACATCGTCGTAGTGCAAAATTAATTGAACAACGAAGACAATTATTAGAAATTTATATTAATGATATATTAAAACGATGTCAACAACAATCAATGATGCCAGAAGAATTAGGACGGTTTTTACAAATTCCACCTTATGATAATGAAAATCAATTAAATCAAAATGATCGACAACAACAAGAACAAGATTTGAATGATGATGAAAGGAAAAATGTTCTTGAACATGGACCATGTATTTCTATAATTGACTATTGTCCATGGAATAGTGATAATCGAGGTTAGTTTTCCTTTTTGTTTTTTGTTTAAATTTGATTTAAAAAACAATAATTTATTTTTTTATTTCAGAAATATTTGTTGATTCAGTGCTTTCTGGTTTAATGTGTTCAATGTATGATATGTAATTCTTTTAAACAGATTTAAGAAAATAAAAAAAATGCATTATTTTTATTTCATTATTTTAATTGAATTTTTAAAAGAAGTGAAAAAAAACAATGGTTTTGTATTGCACTAGTTCAAACTAAGATAAATTTCTCAATCAAGACATTGTTCCTTGCTTGTTTAGAACGTCAATCAGAAACTCAGAACAATATCTGAGTAATACTCTATTCTCATGTTGCATAACAGAACGATTGATATATATAGATATCAATTGATACAACAGGAAAGAAAAAAAGCTTGATGCCTACTACAGGGATCGAACCTGTGACCTTCGCTTTACGAGAGCGACGCTCTACCACTGAGCTAAACAGGCACATGGATCAAAAACTGAAAAAAACTTCTCATTATGTATACTCAGATTCTGTATATTTAGAACTTTACTCTTTTTTTGTCGCTTGCTATTCGGTGCGTTCAATTACCGTGTTCAACATTTAAAGAGAGAAAGCGATCGAAAGAAAGAAAAAAGCGAACTACCCGCTATGTGACCTTCTATTAGGTAGACATATATATATATTCACAATTAGTCAAACAGAACGAGTAAAACTTCATCTGTCTATATAAAATAGTTGTTAGTAGTGTAAAGTTGTGAAGAATCTTCATAGACATGAAAAAAATCTTTCTTCTTGTTGTCGTATATCTTCTTATCTTAGGTAAGACATAATTGATATGTCTGGTGGTTCAAAATAGATTTTTTTCTAGCTACTGTATCTGCTAGTCGCCGCCGTCGACAATATACTGGACCTAGTTATGCTCAACAATATGGTTCACAATATGGAGTTCATAGTCCAGGTAATCAAGAATGGATGAATAATCGTTATTCAAATCAACAAGGTCCTAATTGGAATAATAATCATTTTAATTCGAACCAAGGTAATCAACGTCCTGAATGGTACTATAATACAGCCAATACTATGCAATGTTCAATTTTATGTTTTGTACTTGGTATATTATATATTCTTATTGTTTGAATAAATGAAAAATTTTAAATTAAGACAAAAAAACGTGTATTTTTCTAGTGTAAAGAACGAAAGGTGTTATTATTTTGATATGTTTGATATTATCAATCTAATTACTGATCGATGATATAGTTCATATTGATCTATTTTCAATCATCTATGCTTTACACTTTTAGCGATACTTTGAACGTTTACTCATTCAACTGTTACTCGTTTAAGGTTCTTTTTTATTTTCGCTTAAATTACTTTCTAATAGTGTTTTACTTTTTGATTATCGATTGTTTACATATTTTTTTGTCTATTACAAGTAAATGAATATATATATGTATTGCATATTGAATGTTGTTTAAACATGAGAATTTGACAACACTTCGGATTGATAAATGAACACATACAACAAACAAAATTTTATTTGTTTTATCACTAAAAAGTTTGAACTTGTATTTTTCGATACTAAGATCGTCTACCCCTTCGATGCCCTGAAGAATCATGCTCTTCATCATTTTCTTTTCATTCTAAAGAAGTAACATAGAAAATACTCAATACAAGCCATTCATATTAATATACCAATGTCCGATCAAAACATCTTTAAAATGTCGAACTATTGTTATTGTAGAATGAAAAAAAATAAGACAAGTAAAGCGCATAAATTGTCTCTTTGGTCAAAGCTTAAGTGAATTGTAAAATAAACATACAATATCAAATTTCAGCACTGAATCACACAATCAAAGGGCATCGGATAATTAGATATATTTGTCTTGAAAGCATGATCAATCGTACTCGACGGAAGGAAAGCCTTACAGTCGCTATCTCTCTATTCGTTCATCGATTATTGCAATAGAATAAAAAAAAAGAGATCATTGAGTCTTTTGACGAAGAGTAGTTTATTCATTTTTGACTTTTTTAAGTAATAGTAACAAACATTTAGATTATATTGGTAGTCGGATTTTATTTGTTATCATATTCCTTATTTGGTTTCCATTAGTATTCTTCAGATAAGAATCCAATGATCATTACATGATTAAAAAAATTTTGTTTTCCTAATATAAGTACTAGTTTGATCGATCCAATAGTATTGAACGATATGAAATTAAAGTACCTTTATTAACGTCTAAAGCATTGTGAATAACTTTGTTTTGTTTGATATTGAAATAATTAGATATTATTTAGTAACAACGTATGTTCGAGAACCAACTATCAATGAATTTTCAAATGAAATTCAACCATTAATTACTAATTCATCATTTTGCATAAAATCTATGAAACTTTACAGAAACTGATATAGCTTTTATACGTGTACTAGGTCATATCGATACATAATCAATAGTGTTCTTTTTTCAGCACTTAAACAACTAAAAGAAGAGTTCAAAAACTGTATTAAAAACATTGGATCAATTATTCCTCAAATATACTTTGATTATTCATTTAGACGTAAAGAATAAATTAATGAACAAGATATTTTACCTTCGATTGACAAACAAATATAGTACTCATAGATATTGCGGTCTAAGATAAACTTATGTAAATTTTACTTTTAAACTCAATTAGATACAGTTACAGATGCTCTTCAATTTTCTATAATGATTAGTTTGCATAATTGCTTTCCCTATACCTAAAAGTGATCCTTTTTTTGTAAGGCCTAGGTTATTTCTTGACTATATGATATTTCAATGTGTTCAACTCTGTCATAGAATAAATGAGCAGGATCTCATTGTCAACTAGCAAGATTGTCTTCTAGAATAATTTATTTTTCTATATGAAGCATCCGATATATTGATGATATTTTAACCATATTCAAGTGTTACATTAGAAATTTTGATTTACCAATAAGTAACTCCGCATTCCTGATGAACTGATATAAATACTTCATAAACGGACAAAATTATTTTTGAAATGAACAAGAAATATGTATAGATTCTTCTAGAGTTTCATGCATAAATCAAACCTGAATATTCGAAATAAGAATTTCAAAAAGTATAAATAAAAATAAGAGACCTTCTTTCTGCAACCCTATATTCGTACTCTCTTCCAGGTACCTGGAAGCCAAAAACTTTTTTCCGTCTATGATTGAGTTATTTATATGAGTTCAACAGGGTGCAGTGCTCATTATTGATGCATAAAAACTTTGATTGGACCGTTGAACATTATTAAAATATCATCAACATATCGACCTTTTCGTATTGGAAAATAGGTTATTCAAGAGGACCATCGTAGAAGTTGACAATAACTTCCTTCTGTTTCAAAAGTTGTCATGTGCGAAAAATATAGAGCTCGATAGCGTGAAAGCTTTACGCTAGTACTCATTTGTTCTGAAGCATCGACTTGAACATGCTGAAATATCATATAGTCAAAAACTAACCTGGGCCTTAGAAAAGCACCATTTTTAGGTATGAAGAAAGTAATGATGCAAACTAATCATTATAAAAAATAAAAAGCCATCTAGAACTGTATGAAATTGAGTTTAAAGCAAAATTTACAGAATTTTATCTTAGACCACAATGCCTATGAGTATCTTACAATATTCACAAGTATTATGATCAGTAGATCGACCCTTAGCACATGAAAATTTTCATAAAATTTGATTTCTTATGTATTATTCAATGCGCTGTATTCGGCTCTACAAACCACATATATGGTATCCTAGTTCAAGATAAGTCACCAAATCTGTCAAGGTCCTTTTAAAAACAATTAAAATATATTAATCTTGTTTAGAAAACTATTGTTATTGTTAAACTAGTGTCAAAATATATTTATCTATTACCAGATATAATATATTTAAAAAAACTTAATTCTTTAAAGTAGCGGTCCCCAATTAAAAGAATAAATACTCAATTGATTCACAAGCACTATATATGACCGTGTTTACTTATTGGTTTGTTTGATTACTTATATTGCCAAGATTTTTTGCATATTTGAAAAGTTTAGATAATAATACAAAATTAAGATTCATTGTTGTTTATACTAATCTTGTTTATGTTTTATGGTTAACATGTTTTCGTCAAACATTATTTTCTGAGATGCAATTAATAATATATCATGAATGGTCGTTTGTTGATCATATTGAAAAATTATGTGAAGAAGTTAAGTCAATATGAAGACTTGGTGAATTACAATTAGAAAAAAGAATTATTTGTTCAACTTATTTTTCTTCATCGTTCACCTGAAACACTTATTTAATTTACATAAAAATAAAATAAATGAAATAATAAGACGAAGAAAGAGAGAGCGAAAGAGTTATGATTAATTTGAAATGAAAGTTATTTCTGCAATCAGTGGAAAATCATAAGAAAATAAATGCGGAAACTTCGGATTTAAATCCGAGAGTTATGTGTACTTCAAAAAGTGAATCATAAAAATCAATCATCCTAGACTGTCTGAATATCAAAATTATACTGTGAAATCTACCATTTAAAATGTTGATTTATATTGCGCGTTGCCAAACCAATAGGACATGGGACCGAATACAGCTCAAGTTTGAACTCTGCACCTTGATTTACCCTAAGAAAGTCGTTTTTCCTATAACTTCATTTCTATTGGTCACTGCACAACTAATAGTATTTCGATGGAAGTGCAGTACACATTCGAGTTCTCCATATCTGAAAACCTCGAAGTATCATCAGTGTGACCGGAAGATAAAGCTCTATTTGTGGATCAATTAGATCGTGGACCAAAATATAACCTAGTTCTCTTTAATTATCTTTGTGATAGGTTAGTCAACGTTCTTGTTTCTTTATGTTTTATATATCATTTTGTAGTTCTTGAAATTCTCTATCGAATTGTATATAATAGTTGGGGTTTTAATTGACTATGATAGGAAAAGTCTTTTACGAAAGTCGCGATGGGTCTATCTTTCCACAGAAAGCTATAGGGAAAAATGAGTATTTTTGCAATAACTCAGGAACGGATCGACCGGTCCTTCTCATCTTCGAACTCGACTGAGGTATTGTCAAGACTAAGCTGTGTAGAAAGTTTCATCACAATCTGACTCTCCTTTCGAAAGTTATCGTGCAAACGGTCGGACGGACATACAGACCGATTTTAGTAGCGTACTCACTTTTTGAGTACACTAAAAAGAACTATTCGAATAATTTAAAGAATTTTACTTTCGTAACTTTCAAAGTGTGAACGACGCAGATTTTTGTCAATCTAACTTTTAAAATCTAATTTAAATAATGAAAGATTTAAAGCAATTCTTTCATTATTTCAGCAAAGCTCATTGAATGCATGATTTATTTAATATTTTGCTATGTTTGGTGAAAACAAACCATGAGAATTATCCCTTTACACATGTAATACAACATTTAAGTCAATTTTAATAAATTCAAACTATTTTTTATCCAATATTCTCTTTTTCTTTAAAAGAAAACTAATCTACTGCAGACCTACAACATCGTTTTACATGGCAAATTTTAGTTACGTTGGTTTCATAGATGAAAAAAGGTTTTCAGCACAATCTCCTCGGAACTGAAATTTGAAATTCCTATGTCTTCTTTAAATGCATTTTATCAATAGAACATACTTAAAGTAAAAAATCTCTAATGATAGTAACTTCATTCCAAAGATAATCCATCATCAGGAAGATGTTGTCCTATTTCTTCATTTCGAACAGAACTTTTTCATTTCACTGGGGCTCTGTTTTATTTGCCCTGTTACTAGTCGCTCGTTATTTATTGCATTTTTCTTAATCAAATTTTATTGTTGTTATTATTATTCTACCCATTGGCTTAACTGCAAGATAAATCGGTTTTAAACTCAGAAACATTAATATTGAGTACCCCAGAACGTTGGAATTTGATCATGTCACGCTTTTTATTTTGATCATATGATAATAGTAACAATCAATACGCACATAGCCATTATTCTTGATATTTATCACATAATCGTTTATCTACATAAAAATCCAAAATTTCATTATTTTTGTTAATTCCGTTCAACATCTTTTTTCGTTGCAAACGAACTATGAGAAAGAAGTCTGATACTTGTTATTCTCGAATGTTAGAAAATGATTGTTTCCTATTTTAGAAATCGTAACATTATCTCTAGTTTCATTTTTTTTAACAATTTTCACATATAATTTGTATAGCAAACTAAAGTATATTTTTCTTCTAATATTTCTATTTATGACACATGAATATCATATCAAAAATAATCATTTTAAATGAATTTTTTTAATAGCTAAATAAAAGATGTAACTAGAAGCAAATAACTTTTTTTTTGTTTTAGAAAAGAATTACATCTTATTATTTCTGTATCACTTAAGATCAACTGAAGAAAAACTTTAAATTATACAATAGGAATAATGAAAAACTATATATATATGTATTTAATTCATCCATTTGATGAAAGAAGTCGACTAAAATCATTATAACATATTTCCAGATCCATTTGAAATTGACGAGCTTGTTCTTCAGTAATTTCTTCAGCTGCATTCATATTTGCCAATATATTTAACCTAAAAAAAATTAAAAAAAATGATCTTTTCATCAAAAAGAAAACTGTTAATATTTATTTACCATTTTGAAATTTTTTCTCTACCAATATAATTCGACGGAATTAAATTCATTCTATTAATAACATCTAACAATTCACGAACATCTGTTTGAAGCTAAAAAAAAAAATAATTTATTTAGATTTTTATTCTTCGTACAATCTTACCATATCATTAGCTCGAATATTTAATTTAAGTTTATCCATAAGATTAATAAAAAGCTATTTGTTAACAAAAAACAGACAAAAAAAATTCTTTACTTTCTTTTTTTTTTTTAATTTCGAATTCATACCGAAACTGTTTCAGCAATGGATTTGCCCATATTACCACGATCATCTCGAACAGTAATAGGACGGCCTTCACGAATACGTAATAAAGCTGCTGGACAATCAAGCTAGAACATTAAAAAAAATGAAAAAATAGAAAAGAAAATTTTCTTTTGTACTTTATATTTATGAACAAAATCTTCAATCTTAGGAAATTCACTATCAATTTGACGAAATGCTGCTGTAAATTTAGCTAATAATTTTTCACAATGTTTTGTATATCTAAAATAAAAAATCTTATTCAAAAGACTTTCTATGAATATTTGAAAAAAAAATAGCATACTCAGCTGGTTCAACAAGATCTTTTATATAGGCTTTTTCAAGTGCTTGTAATGTAGTAATAATTGAAAATACATCAGCCATATTATCATATCTAAGTAAATAATACTAAAAAATTAAATAAACAGAAAAAAAAATATTTATTTTCTTTCTTACGTTTCACGTTCACGAGGATTTTTCCACAGGCGAACTTCCTTTACATAAAACAATATTCAATGATAAGAAATACAAATTAATATAGTCTCTTACTTCATACATTTCTGGTCTATTGTTATCTAAAATATAGAAAAAAAATCAAATCAATAAAATAATCTTCATCACTCAGAATAGAGAAAGTCTTTTTAATAAACAAAAGTATCGATTGTTATGCTTACGACTCTTTAAAACAGAACTGACCGAATCATTCAAAGAGCGCGATCGAGCGTTTGAAGTTAATATAATTTATTGCTATATATTTCATTTTGTAGCCAAAACATTCCGTTTTTTTTTAAGACTCAAATCTCAATATTCAATTCGTTTATTCTCAGTCAAATATATATATTAATCATTTTCGAAATTAAATCTACTGAAACATTGTCGGAAAGGTGTACTTTCAACTAGAAAAATCTACTCTAATTGTTTTATTTCTACCCAAAAGATATTTATTCCATTGAACTTACTTGATGTTGATTGAGTAAAACTCATTTATTGATTGTCGTACTTCAATAATACAAAATCTACAAATAAGAATAACTTTTATTGCGATTAATAAAGAGACAAAAAAGAATGATTTGTTTTCATTATCTGTTTGTTTTTTTTTATAACGAATATACACAAGAAAGAAAAAAAAACACTGACTACAAATATGATGACCATTAATTTAGTGTTTCGCCTTTGCTCACCTAATAAAGAAAAATATTAATGAGAAATAAAAATAAATCTATCTTACCCTTGCTTCAAGATAATCAACATGTCGTTCAAGTGCTGTTAATTTTTCATTTAATATTGATAAACGATATCGACATGAAGATTCTTTATAAAAAATTAAAAATAAAATAGAACAAAATTAAATCATTATGATATTACCAAATTGATTGAGAAAATCAACAAGACGTTTGATAGCTGTTGTTAATAATAGAATATCATCACGACGTTGCCAATCATCTTGAATATTTCGTCGAACTTCACTTGTTTCACCATTACAACCATTTTCACTTGATGGAGATCTTATGTTGCCTAAACCATAATGAGACATGACTTCTTACTATCACCTTAGTTTTTCTCTATGATTCAGACAGTAATAACTAATCTGTTATAGGAAGCATAAACAAAAAAACAAAAACATAGACATTTTGATAGGTAGTAGAGGTCACTATGCTATTTTTCTATGGGAGAAAAATGATAAACCAATCAAATAATCTCATTTATATTCTCACGGATCATAAGGAAGGAAGACTGAGTTTATGTTACTTTTTTTTCCAAAGATGTTTGAATAATATATAAATGGCAACAGTAGATCGACTGGTATTATTTTCTGCAGTATTATTTTGTATAGCTGATCTACTTGTTCTCATTAGCATATCACGACCACGATGGATTTTGTCTGTTACTCAAGGTAAAAAAAAAAATTTGAAAATCAAAAAGTGAAGATTATTTTATCTTTAAAGAATATGTTCAAGTTTCTTATGAATAATTTTTCTTAGAAATTCAATTTAAGATGATTATCTATTTTCTAATCAGACTAATGATCCACAGCCTACTAATTCTAAGAAAAATACACTTTGATATATTTATTAATCTAAAGTTCTTTTCTAGTTTAATTCAACTGTTTCCCCAGTGGTAAATCTAGAGAGGAAAGATGCTGGAGGTAATCGCCTATCTTCCAAAGAAATTGTCTCTGTTTTTCCTGGTAGAAAAAGCTTAGAAATGAGCTGATGCTATTTCTGATACGTTGCAAAAAACATTTTATGGTTATGATCGTCCCCATTCTCACCGAATCGCCTTCCATCATAAAACTTCTAGACCAACCATCATTACGTTTTCTGAGAAAAAACATAAAATCAAAGAATTCTGTGATGTCACCTATAAAGCTATCGTTCACTATTTTCAGAAAAGATTAAATTAAATTCAAAAATAACTGTATATCAATGAATAGAAAAAAAAAACAAGAGGATTTTCTAGGAAAAAAATATCCAATGAAATTGATTGGTGTATGTCAATGTGCAGTTTTCCTTATAAACATCAAGTCACGGATCAGAAGAAACATCAACTCATTCATACTGAAACATATTTATTTAAAATAAATTTCGGTTAAGAGATGAAAATTTAAAAAAAATCTTGTTTGAATATAAGATAGGATGAAAAAAAAACATACATGACACCTCATGAGCAGATAATATTTGTAGAATACTGGATAAATTCTATAATGATCTGTTCTAATAGAGTATTCTTTATATTATGTTTTGAATTGGGAATTAAATCAAATTAGATTTGAGTATGTCCACAAGTGTGGTTATTCTGTCACGCTCTGTTTGCAACAGTGGAAAGTCGCTGACAGCTATGGACTGTCTCATTTTGATAATCACACTTTGTGGTCTAAAATCTTAAACACATTCGATTCTAGACGACGAAGTTCTATATTTAATGAAGCAAATAAAGCGTGACGAAAAACATTTTACATGGACAGGCTCATTTAATATGAAAAGTCGTATAGAAACTAAATTAGATTTGCTTATTACGACAATCATTACTATGTAAAATACGAATTTTTCTCTATATATAACTATGCGAATATGAAAATCATTTTTCAATTCTCTTGTCTTAATATGAGTTTAATATTAGGTTTAATTGAAAATGGAATAATATTTTTTTAAATTAATTTGATTTAGGTGAAACATCATTTGGTCTTATTGAAATGTGTATAATGTTCTCAACATCAAATTCTAATAATCAAAAATGTTTTATTCCACATCATTTTCGTTCAGTATGGATTATATCATTTGCTTTAGCAATTGGTGCTTTTCTTCTTCTTTCATTAACTATTCTTCTTCTTGTTACTTCACAATATACACAAAGAACAATAGCTGAATATGGTCGACTTACCGGATTTATTGCAAGTATGTATTTATTATTGATTTTTTATTATAAAATAAAAGAATACTTTTTTTTTTGTTTCTAGTGATCTGTTTATGTCTTTCAACAGTTCTTTTTCCAATTGGTTTTGATTCAGAAATTATTGGTGGTTCACCATTTCAATTACCATCTGATTATCAAATAGGATCAAGTTATATTTTATTTGTTGGTGCAACTTGGTTAACTGTTATTTCGACATTAATGACTGGAAAAATATGTTTACCAACATTTATTATTTAATATATAATTTTAGTTTTTATTTATATATTTCGATAATTATTCATTATTTTTGTCGTGCTTTTATGAGATTATTTTTAGAGAAAGTATATTTTGTATAATAAGTGCAAATTCTTTTTTTTTCTAGATAAAAATGGCTATTGATCTAACAAAATCACGACGTAAACTACCATCTCCTATGCTTGATCGATCATCTTATAGTATATTTTCTGTACTGAAACAAGCAATAGGAAAAGATCTTACAAGATTTTCTATACCTATTGTTTGGAATGGTAAACAAAGAATTTTTTTTAATTCATATTGTCCATCATCTTTTCTTTTTAATTTTAGAACCTCTTAGTTTTCTTCAACGTTTATCAGAATGTTTGGAACATTCATCATTACTTGATCAAGCTGCATTAGCTGATGCACCAATCGAACGATTTCATTTAATAACAGCTTTTATTGTATCACATCTATCAAGTCATCTCGAGCGAACGTCAAAACCATTTAATCCATTATTAGGCGAAACATTTGAATTGAAAAATGAAAAAGATGCACCATTTCATTTTATTGCTGAACAAGTTAGTCATCATCCACCTATATCTGCTATGCATATTCGTGGATTAAATTGGATTTTAACTGGAAATATTCAACCTGTAATAAAATTTCTTGGAACAAATATAGCCGCTTTAGATGAAGGTTAGCAAATATATCATATAATCAAGTTTCATGTTGTTTAAATTAATATTTCATTGAAAAATTATATATTGTTTTTCTTTTATAAGGAGAAAAGACGAAAAAGTCCCTTGACTTTAAACTAGAGATAGACATCGTATGATGAGAAATCTCATAAGATTTGATTCAGCTTTTCTTTTCTTTAAATTTATTTTCCTTATGAAAAGATATTGGCTGCTAAGTATTTTATTTCTCGCTATCTCTACTTTTATAAATTATAGTTTTCATGAATATACTTTACAATTTAGGTCGATGGATACTTCGTATAAGAAAAAAATCTTCATTATCTCGTTCATCATCACAATCAAGTTTTCATTCATGTACTGAAGAAAATAACGAACAATACGAAGACACTAATGATCAAGATGATGATTATGAAGAATATACATGGAAATCACCAAATGCAGTTGTTCATAACATTTTATTTGGTCATCTGTGGTGTGAATTTCAAGGACAAATTGATTTACAACATACACAATCCAATCGACGAGCTGTCCTCACTGTTAAATCTCATTCATGGTTTGCATCACAAGCAACAAAAGCTGCTGAAATGTTCAAATTTAGTGGATTTATCTATGATGGTAGATATCATTTTTTTTTTATTCTAACCCATCAAAATTTTCTCAGAAATGAAAATAAAAAAAAGATGTTAGAATCAAGTCTTTGAATATATGGACGATTTCATTCGTTAGTGACATGATTTTGCAAAATTAAAACATGTGTATCTCAGGATAATGAGCCTTTCTAGATACCTTTGTCCAGAGGAGTTATTAGTAAAAAAAACCTAGCGTTAACAACGTACAACAAAAAAGGATATCGACTTTCACTTTATGTATTTTAATTTTAAAAAACTCTCAATTGAGGCATCATTTTTGAAAGCCAAATAGTACGTTCTGTAGACAACTCCTGAGCCTACACAATCTCTACGCAAAATTTTTTCTTGAGCATGCTTAGATTTCAAAAAGATCGATTTATTTTTCGTTAGCAACATGACGGACTACGAATATACAAACGAAAAAATGTTCTTGTAACCAAATGGGAAGTTTGAAACCAATTCCAAATGATGCAAAGCTTTTCTTGGAATTTCTAGATGACGGTAAGACGAAAATTTTTGTTTCTAGACTTGACAGGTTCTCTAGAAAACTTGCTTTCTCAGAAGAAGTCTTTTTTTAAGTTTAATCTTTCTGAAAATTTTACCATAGATACAACTCGTGTCATAGAGTCGATTCTGAAGGTTTTAGTTCTTTCCTTCTTGTATGGTTAAAGAGATATTGACTGATTAATTTTATAATTAAAAGTTAGCTGGAAGAGTCAACATTGTTACATATGTCAATGCTAAAAGCATTTATTCAGAAAAAAGCCTTCGTACAGAATAAAAGTCAAATGCAATGGGGTATGTTCCATTTTTTCTGAAATGGCCCATATAATAGTAAAAGCAATATATAGACTATTTTACCTAAATCATAAAAATATTTTATTCGAATACGATTATATTTAGGAGATGATAAACTCGGTGCATTTCATGGTAATTACGGTCATTGTTACTATGCTATTGATAATTTAAACGATGCCGAATTAAAAACTGCATCTTGTTGTTCAGCTGGCGGTCATAATTCTATTCAATTTAGTTTCAATACATTATTAGCATCACCATGTAATGTTATTCTAACTCCATCATCTCGTCTTATTTGGCATCGTTGTTTATCATCAATGACTGATGGAGAACTAGTATCAAGGCCTCAGTATTATTATTTTACATCATTTACAATGTGTCTTAATGAAGAAATATTTTCAACAAAGTTACCATCAACTGATTGTCGATATCGTCAAGATATGCGATTTCTTGAAAAAGGTATTTTGGAAACTGCAGCAGCTGAAAAACATCGTCTTGAAGAAAAACAAAGAGCAGAAGCAAGAAATCGTGAATGTGAATATCAACCATTATGGTTTAAGAAAAATGATACGAAAGAATATATTTATACGGGAGAATATGAAAAAAGAAATTTTGATGTTTGTCCAAATCTTTTTTCTCAAACATCATGTCTCTAATAGTTGTTTTACGTGTAGCTACTTGTTTCATGTTAACATTGTTTTTTCAGTTATACATTCCTAGAATTCTAATACTTTCTGTTTACTGTTATTTAGAAATATTTATTTATTAATTTATGAAACATATAAATTAAACCTGATAGTATCTTTGCATCATGATATGACTTACAAGGGAACTTTCCCAGGTGCCAGAGCGCTTTTCAGTCGAAGTTTTGCGCATCTTGTAGCCTATAGTGAGCTATGTCTATGGTAAAAAAAGTTCGTCCCCCTGGCTTGTTTCTGACGAGATATCGAGTTTTTAGTGTCTTTTTTCTATAGCACCCCACTTTTGCAGCAAAGCTATATTTTTGAATTTTGATCTGAAACCTGTCCCACATAAAGGCCACAGCTAGACTAGCTTGCATAAAAATTTTCAGAAGTTTCCGACAACGTCTCTCCGAGATACGAAGATTTGAAAAAATGCATACTTTATATACCATCTATGAAAAAGGGTCTGTACCTTGATAGTTCCATATTTCGAAGAAACTTTGTCCGAAACGTCTGAAATTTTTTATACAAGCTAGTCTAGCTGAGGCCTTTATGTGGGCCAGGTTTCAGATCAAAATTCAAAAATATAGCTTTGCTGCAAAAGTGGGGTGCTATAGAAAAAAGACACTAAAAACTCGATATCTCGTCAGAAACAAGCCAGGGGGACGAACTTTTTTTACCACAGACATAGCTCACTATGGGCTACAAGATGCGCAAAACTCCGGCTGAAAAGCGCTCTGGCACCTGGGAAGGTTCCCTTGTTAGTGACTTCCAAAGAATACATCGACATATGATTGGTGATGAACTATATGTATTTTCATCTTATTTGTAATATGATTTTAGATTTGAAGTGCTAATCGGTTTAGTTATACGATAATAACTGTGAGAGCATTCATAAAAAACATCCGACAACTATGAGAAAGGGGGCAGGTAAGGGGTCAGATGAACATCTCAATATTTATTACTACTCTTTGTTGCTTTTCAAATATTTTTTAATGAAATCTTCAAGTTAAACCAGCTAGTATTCAATGATGCATCATCTACAAAATAAATCATGTATATCAGTTGTTTAATATAAAAGAAAATATTATCTTTGAGTAAATAGGCTTTATTCAAAAATATTTGCCAACTGGATGTCTAAAGAGTTGCGAGAAGGCTTCATGAGAAACGCAATTGTTGGCGTTTAAATAAGTAAAACTAGTCTCTCATGTTTTTGTAACCGGTTTTTCTTCAAACTTTTGCATACTGTAAAATGTTACTAATGTAACCAGACTATTTTTTGAATCATAACATTATTAATTTCATCTTTTTTTTTGCGATGATGAAGCTAATACAGTCAAATTATATGTTACATGATGTGTTGTCTTTGAAGTTTTCTTTACTACCATGAATAAATGAAAAAATATGGTATTCGTATTTTTTCAAATCAATGTAATGAAAAATTCAGATCAATTTTTTGCAATATTTTAACTATAAGCTGTGTAGTAATAGATCAACCAGACTTAACACATCACATTTTCATGATCAGACATATTGATTGATTGATTTCATACAAAATATCGTTTATTTTAAGTCATATATTTTATGAACAACAAGGATGATAGTATATCTAAAAAGAGGCCGATACTATTATTTATCTGACAAGATTAGAATTAATTTGTGTATAATATTTCAATCAAAACCTAATAAACATTCTAACGTTAAGTTTTTTTTTCTTTTCTCATGATCTGGTTTTGATCAACTTATATCACCATATCTTGGACTTCATCAATGAAGAAATAGCAGATTTCAAGAAAATTAGAGTATGATATTTTCTTCCTAGCATAGAATATCCTTATCATTAGTTAGCTTCTTTTTTTTTATTTATTCGAACAAAATATTTATTCACCTATATCAAAAAGAGGAACTCTATCTGTCAAATATCATAAGCTAGAATTACTATATTAGTTTTGTTAAATTAGGTTTTCACATGAATCGTTATAATAGACTGAATCTATAATAATGAAGTTTTGTCATCTATTATAGACAGTCATTTAAAGTTATTCTCACTGCTAGCAAACGCACAAAGTATAATAAATAATAGCCAAACAAGAATACGAAAACTAAAGTATACAATGAGTTTCAATCTATTTATTCATTTGAGTCCAACTGTCATTGAAACAATTAGAAAATATTCGTTATCATATTTTATTTAAAATTATGACATCAGTAAAACAAAATCATTGATGCTAATACAATAATTTCTTGTACTCTTACGTTGACTAACATCTTCACATTGAACGTGTCATCTTATACAATTTTCTTTATGATATTTTCCATCAAAGTTAATCCACATATTGCGATTTGCTGACAATATCTTTCCAATACGGCAAATATTTAGGTACTATATAGGAATTGCAAATAGATAGAAATATGTTTGCATCCAAAATTGTTCAAAAAAAAATGAAGCATTCTTTTTTTTTCTATAGACTCATTATGTATATTTTGATATGCTTATTTGGCTTCATAATTGTATAATAATTTAAAGAAATCATACAGTCCATTGGTCAATGTTCTTCTTATCGAACGTTCTTTATCAAGTAATTCGTTTTTTTCAAAACTAATCGATTACTTAAAGTCATCTGTTTTTTTTCCCCATCAAACAGAATATTAATGCATGTATATGATATCGGTTTACGGATAAATTTACCATCGACATTTTTCTTTACTACATCTATTGGTCTTACGTCTCTTGAATTTGTTTGCCATTACCGAATAAACCTAAGTTGTTTTCATAATAAGACCAAAAAAAAGTAACAATTCAATGACATGAATCAAAAATAATACGAGAAATCTATAAAGAATTATTTATTCTGAAGATGAGATATTTGAGAACTAGCTAAACAAAAATAATTGACTATCAAATAGAACATATTTGTTAATATAAATTAAATAGAATATGATTAATTATAGAAACGAAATTAACTACTCTAATTTATTAACAAGAAAACTGCTCCATTTTTCTAACTCTCTTTTTCATAATATAGTTCGGTTATAGAGAGCAAAAAAGAAAATCTGAGAGCAAATGAACTCATGATATTTCTTTCTTAAGTTATGATCTACAGAACTGTTAAAGAAAACTAAAATATGAATATCATCAGTTCATCTATATATTGACTGAAAATAAACTTTCACAGTTATAAAAAAAAACTTATGCGAAATTATTTCATATGGTTGTACTGCATTTCTAGTATCGACGTAACTAAGAGGAACTAAGCCTTCTCACTGTCAAAATTCTGGGTAATCTTATAATTGTATCCGGAGTTCATTATATGAGAGAGACAAATTGTAAGCAAAATTATTTCGATGCTTCATATGGTGTGCATATAAACGTATAGATCTCTCTTTGAATAAGTCATAAAAGTGATAGAGTAGACTTCATTATCGAAGTTACGCCTATTACAGCCGGAGGTTGAGGTCCTTAAATCTCGCTCTGTACTTCAGCACTTCTTTAACTTTGAAATTTTACAAATAAGAAATCTGGAAGTATGCATTTATATTACATGAATGGTAACAAAAAACATTGTGGTAATGTGCTCGTTTAGTCTCTGAGAACTAACTCGAATATTATTTTTGTAGAGGTTTAACAATTATAGAAGGTAATCTATGGATTTTAAACTTCAATATGATCATTAAGATTCTTTTTAATTTTGTCTGAGGACAAGTAATGATCAATGTAAGATAAGAAACCAAAGACTTCTTTAAAACTATTTCTCAGAAGAAAATTCTTAATGTTGGCTGATAGTTAACATTTTATTTCTCTTAGTTATTAATAACAAATCGAATAAATCGAAAAATAATATATGAAAACTCTTAGAAAAAGAAACTTTAAATGAATAAGATTAACCATTTTACAGCCGACAGCTCCATTGTTTGGTATAATTCTAGATGTACGTGTCGGTGTGAGCTACGAGGAGATCAACATTCGCATTCCTTCTTCTCCAATGTTATTATTTAAAATTAGCACATGTATTGTTTATTAATCATATTTCTAAGTTAAATTTTAGCAAGCAAATAGTGATTCTAGATGTTTTCTATTACTTGAAGTTTAACTTGTCGACCAACTAAGAAATTTTTCTGATTGGTCTTAATTAGTCGACGAAACGGACCTGAACCCCATTTCTCAACTTTAATTAAATTGGTTGACTGTTAACCGAATTAACTATTGATATGTTCATTGCTCTCCGTACACCAATTTAAACTACACTCTATTTTTGTGATCATATGATTTCCAAACAAGTTCTATTTTTTATTATTAACAGATTAGAAAATATCAAAACGCTTATGTTTATATTTCTTTTTTTCTGTATAAAATCAATCTTTTTAGAATCATCAATGTCTAAAAGATCGGATTCCATTAAATAAAGAAAGATGTACACAGTTTAATAATTTTAAAATCGATAACTATATAAAAAATAAATAAATATTTCTTTTTGAAAATTCATTTCATAAAATTATTTGAAAAGTTGCAATGGAAGTTTTGTTGCCGGTATTTAAATAAAATTTATTTTATTGAGCAGAAATTGGCGTTTTAGGTTTTTGTTTGTTTTGAGCCATTGCATAAGCTTTAGCAGCACATAATGTCAAACCATGTGGATGATAATCAACTTGATAATTTGTTTTATGATCCTGTTCTCCCATTTGACTAATCATTTTAATTTCAGGTACATAAGCACGTGCTCGTTGACCTAATTTTATAAAAACAACATAGAAATCAATTTAAAAAGAATAAACTAAATTACCTGGTTGTCCTTTATATGTTTCACCGGTTGTTGTTAAACCTTCAAATTTACTTGCTGGTGGTATATAAACACTAGGCAATGGTTCACCATATGTTCGTTTAGATTTTATAGAGTCATATGGTTGAAAATGATATCGAGACATTGTTACACTTTCCATAGGAGCTTGTTGCTCGCTAAATGGTAGTGTTGTTTTCATTGGTATTAAACGAATACGTGGTAAAGTAGTTATATCCAATGGTTGAAAATCTCTCTAAAGCAAAACGAAACATGTATTTGTTTTTTTTTTCTGTAATCTTCTATTGATATTGTTTCCTGAGTTACATGTGTTACTGATATTGTATCCATTTTTTGCATTGGTGCTACATAAGGCCTTTTATCTTTTGGTACTACAGCCGGTTGACGAAGATGTCTGCTCGTATCAATACCTTCATAATCGACACGATATTGACTTTTACTAAAACAAAATAAAAAGCAACATTGAAAATGAATTCATTGAATTAAATATCAAACTAACGTTACAGCTGGTGTCAATGAATCGCCTAAAGTTATTTGAGATACAAATGGTTCCATATCAGCTGGCGGTGATGGTCGATGATTTGGATAAGGACGAAAATCTAAACTTGTTTGTGTTATAGTATGCATTGGACGACGTGTATAAACTTTATCTTCTTTTGATTTATCTTTTCGTTCAGTTGGAGCACTTCGTGCTGATGATGGTTCATGTGGAATATAACTTTCACGATAATTTGTACGTAAATCCATTGAACCTTTATTTATATTTCAAAATGATTAACCTTTTTCTTTTTGAACAAATATTATTGTTATTATTATTTACCAGAGGCTATAAGATTTCCACTATTTTCAACTCGAGGAACTGGTCTTGCTTGTAATACTTTTGGAAATGGTTTAAATGTACTTCCTGTTGAAGTACTAAAACAACGACTTGAACCAGGAAAAAGAACGTGACCTAGAAAATTAATTAATAGTTCATTTTTTTTCTTGTTATTTGTCAAATGAGAACATAATACAAAGACTAAACAAAAAATAATGTTATAGTACAACATATCCTAATACTTAGGGTATACAAAAACTTTGGCTATGTCACACATAAATCAGTTGGGATTCTTCGAACTAGAAGAATTGCAATCAAAAACTCTCCATCAGTTACCGTTTGGTGCAATAATTTAGCTTCAAAACAATATTTTATGTCTTTTCTAAAAACAGAGTAGTTAAATCATTTTTAAAAACTCAATAAATATGAAAAGAAAGGAAACTTCTAATCACCAATTCTCTAAAACTATTTACTAAAGAGATGAAATAACAAAGATCATCGACTAGTATTTAAGACATCGGAAGTCATCATGACAACATTCAATTATACATTCATAGAGATGCTTTTGCTATCCTTCATCATTTTCGGGTGCTCGATCTAATTGATAAACTTCATCAATCAAACGGTCTTTAATCACTACATTGACTGTCGTAACCAAGATAATGAATTTTTTAATCAAACAATTTTTGAAAAATACTTTCAACAAATGTCTTCAAATAAATTGATTATTTGTGATTAAGTATGAATACTAGCTCAAATACTTAATTAACAATTTCCTGTGGAATTTTATTGACCAGAATCATTACTTTTAGTATATACGAAATATTTTAAAATACAGTAAGCAACTTATTTTGCATATAAGAAATTACAATCGCAATGAATGCATGACCATGATGAAACCAATAAACGATTGATTATATAGGATTTCAGATAAATATTTTAATGGCTTCGTTCAGTCAACATCAAATTATAAAGTATTTTTATAGCATGTCAACTAAAACATTTTATGTTATTTTACAAGAAGAATCTTACTCATTATTATAAACGAACAATAAAAATTAAAGAAATGTTGATCCACAAGATAATTAAAAAAAAAAGCACTGTAGCTTGACGGTTCGAAAATTGAGAGTGAAGATTTATAAGAAAATGTTTCATAAGAGTAATAAAAATTCATAAAATCTTGGTATTTTTTACTGTGGTAACAATGAAATCTTCCTCCCACTAGTGTACTACACACTTAACAAATTTATCAAAAAAACAAGCTATTGCTATCTATCAAACTATGATACATTCTAAAAAAACCAAGATCGATGATTAAAATGCAGTTAATTAATTTTTCTGATTCGATTTAGCTATTCAAACAAACCTTGAAATAATATTAAAAAATCTTCGTCTTACACTTGTTGCTATTGAAAAATGTATAAAAAAACGAAAGATTTATCGTTATTATTTTCTTCTCAAACATAAGACTTTTTGCATCGATTACAAAGAAAAACATTTGAAGAGAACGTAAACAAAAAAAGAAACGATTTCTCTTTTCATATTTTCAAGTGAATTTTAAACAGCAAAAGAGAATTAGTTTCTTTTATTTAATTTTTTTTACCTGCAACAGGAGGTAATTCAGCATATGGTTGTGATCGTGCTGAATTCCATGGCTTAAAATGTGATCGAGTTGTTGTTTGAGAAGATAATGGTGCTATTGGTTCACCGAAATTAATACTAAATAACACATGATAATAAAACGAAATATTATAAAAAGAAATATTTACTGAGACTCTTTTAATGGGCGAAATGAAATTGGAATAACAGGTTTTTCAACATATTCAATTTGATATTGACTTTGCGTTTCCATTGGAACTGCACGAATTAATAAAGAATTATTTTTCTAAGAAAACAAAGAAACTGATAGTTTTAGGTTAAAATTCAAGTAGATAAACATACCGGTTTCATATGCGTAGTCGAAGGATTTTTAATATTACTTAACGGCGGAGGTTGATAATGATCTCGTTGTGAACTAAGACCAGTCATAGCTGCATTTTTAAATGATATCGGTATTTCATTGTCAGGTGCTGGAGGACATGGTTGACGACGATGATTTGCTGGTTCACCAGATTCATTTGTTGCTGCTTGAAATGTTGCTTGATAATGTGAAAGAGGGCAACGAAGTGCTAATGATAATTTTGTTCGTTGTACTGGTTTTCGCTGGCATTCTGGGTGATGTTGATAACCTGCACGATCAAAACAACCATCATCGCATAATTCACAGGGGCATCTCTCAAATTTTGGTAAATCAGTAAGTTGCAATTTAGCAACATCAACGTTCTCCAATTTCATTTTCTTGTCAACCGGCAATGCATAAAACCATTAAATATATGATAGCAACCAATTTTGAGTATGTTTACTTTGCAACAGCAAATAGTAGAGAGAAAAAAAGAAACGAAGAGAAGATGAAGAAAGAAAAATGCAATGGCATCACAACTTCAACGATTTCAGTTTTTCTCTACGTATGTTTTGCAATGTTAAATGAGCATTTCTTCTGTTCTTTTAATCAGTACAATGTGATCGTTCTTTGTCTCGTGGATTTCACGTCAATTTTGTCAATCAAAAGAAAACATTAGATACTTTGACAAAAAAAGTAAAACAACAGATGACATATTTTATAGATTCATGGGATAAAAACAAACTAAAATCTAATTCATAGAGATTTTGATTTTTGCATTAGTTAAACATTAATTGATTTAAAACTGAAGGATAGATTAACCTTTGCTTTAAAATGCGACGCCTTTAAAAGTATTAACAATGTAAAGAAATACTTTCAGGTTAATAAAAAAATAATATACCAACAAATAGAACAATCATATATGGATCTGAAAATTTTCCTAAAGATAGATCTACATGTAAATAGTCTAGTGTGAAAATTTCAGTTCAAACGATTAATACTTTAGTAAGACATTGACTATTTCAAAAAAAAAAAACATAAAGTTCTTGCATCTTTCGTAGGATATGAATGATTCTTGGAACTATAATATCTGACTAAGATAATATTCTTTTGTGTTGAAATTTTCACAGTATTCTATTTACAAATAATTTTATCTTTGCACAAAATTTCACTTCAAAATGTCATTATTCTTAGCATATTGATAGATGATGAAAGTTTTTGATCTCNTGAAATGTTTGTGAATGTGATAAGTTTTATAATAATTTCGTCTTATATAGTATCAGACAAAAAGACGTCCAGAGTTTTCCTCTTTAGACTGGTGAAAATCGTAGGTCTCTAACTGTTATCGTTAGACAATTATTGAAATTACAGCTACTTTTCTTTAACTCTAACACGCACATTACTCATATTAGATAGTTCCTTATGTGAAAGTTATTTCTCTCTCTTCTTGAAAACAGTCTGTTACAGAATATCGACATTGATTAAAATGAAAGTGGTCGATTTATTGAAAACTATTATCTATTTCTTAAGTACGTAAATATTACTAAAATCAAAATCAAAATTATTATAAATATTATGCTTCCAAATATTTTGTTTTTATTTTCTAACATTATATACGTTTTTTTTTATATATAAAAATAGCTTTAATAGAATATTTAATCCACCTGTTGTTGTTTTCTTTGGAAATTATATATGCCGAAGAGTCTAATGTATGCATTATAACTACAATGTAATAAGCTGCTGAAGGAAAAAAGAAAAAGGAATTTCTAATTATAATCTAATAGAAAGAGGAAAAAAAAAGATTTTCTTTTTTTTTCATAAGGAAAAGAACAACATCGTCATTCCAGCTTTTTTTTCTTTTCCCCTTCACATTCTCTTCGTTTACGATGTCATCGTCACCAACAAGCGTTTTGTTTATATTATTTTACCTAGTTATTTTACTATTTGCTACATCTGATCTTAAACGATTTATTTTTCATGTCCATATTTCACGTGTTGATCGTATACCTGTTGAAATCGATATTGATTCATCATCATCTTTATGGTATCCAATTACAATTGGAATTATTTTTAATATTTTTATTATAAAATTTTCTATTATAAATATATGTTTACTTTTATGGCGACGAAAATTATTGTGTCAACTTAATTTTTCAACATTAATTCTATTATGTTTATTTACAACACGTTTTATAATAAATATAATTCTGACTAAATATCGAAATGGTCTTGCAACACCAACACTTGTTGAACGATCATTTTTTGCATCATCATTATCATTAGAAGAAGAACTTACTACAATTATTTTAAATTGGATTATAAAAACAATTGGTTTTGTTGGTACATTTATATATTGTTATAAACAAAAACAAAAACAAACAATTAATATTGAAAGACAAAGTGAAACAAAATTAATGTCTAATTTTGAATAAAAACAAAATCTAATTTTTAAACATAGTGACAAAATATTTTTTTTGTGTCCTTTTGTTTATCACTATTGTTATCCTCTGCAGAAACCTTTATGATTGCACATATTATATACGTAATAATCAGTAGTTCAAAATGTTGATTATTATCTTTTTCTTTCTTTCAAATACAATCTCATAAAGCACTTCAGCTCGTCAATATTTGAATTTTTCTCCTAATTATCTTACTCATGAACAAATGTTAGCATGTATGTCTTTCTTGATTTCAATTAATAAAATAGCTGCATGTAAACAGAATTTTGAATTCATTTCTTCAGAAAGTATTAGAAGTACTTGTGTTTTTTTTTTGCAGAGAAAAGCATTTACCATTCGATGTATTAGAAGAAAATGTTAATTAAGTAGATGATTATGATGAGTGTGTAAAACCGATGTTTATTCCAAAAATAAATCCTTTACGTCTTAAGCATTTGATATACAATATTTTGAATGAACTCAGGTTTATAATGTAATGTTATTATAGATACTATTACACTGACAATATTCTAGAGAGGTTCAAACCCACTGCCTCTTATTATTTTTGTTCTTGATCATCATGTAATCAACAAGTAATTATTTCTTTGATCCATATTTTTCTTTAAAAAAAAAAGTAATATTACCGAAGATACTCTTATTTGTTTAAATAATCCATCTAATGGATAAAAATGTTTAACTCATAGAGCTATAGTAACTATAATTATTCTGTCAATTTTCGGTTTGACAAGTGGTAATTATTTAGTAGATGTTAGAATAACTGAATTTCAATCGGTAAAATGATCACGATATCATTTTGAGTTATTATTGGTCATTCGTTTATTTTCAATATAATATTTTTAAGTAATACTTTATATGTTATTAACTTGGACTCGTAATGTATCATTACAATTACTTTCAAGTACTGCGTCTTAATATGAATGTACTCTTTATTCTTAGTGGATTTTTAACAGTAATGATATTTGCTCGACAAATAAAAAGAACAAGAAAAAAAATGTTGCTCTGTTATAGATATATTCAGCTTTACACTAGTATTTTTTCTGATAGTTTTTGTAAGGATTAATTTGACACAACACTTTATTCATCGAACAATATATCCAACTCAACAAGGATTTAAAGTATCTAAGTAACGTTCTGAATATTGGTATGTTTTTATCTATTGCATGGATTTGTTTTTATAATCGTCCAATAGTGAAATAATCATACCTCAAGTAAGTTTAGATGTTCAAACTGAATACAATATATTTTCATTGTTTTAATAGTCAGATCGTACATTTTCCAATACTCTCTATGTCAGTTCATAGTATTGTCTACCTGTATATTTTATTGGTATCTTTTACTAGTTTGCTAGTCATTAATATAGGTGGTCTATGTTAAATTAATAAACACATTTTAATAATTTGTACTATTATTATAGCAATTCTATTTGTTTTGATTGGTATTTTTGCGATTTATGGTGATAATATTCTTATACCAAGCATTTATCGAACACCATTTATTATCTATCAAGGACTTTCACGAACACTTTAGTCTCTTGCTATTGAATAGTTACATTTTGTTTTATGTATGACAAATCAAGATGGAATAGTAAATGAGATTATTTTATGATCTATTTAGACTCCACTAGATCAACTTAATTATTTAACTTATTTGATTCATTGAACAACCATTTTTATAATAATGATTACAAATCAAAGATTACCATTTTATTATCAACCATATTTATTAAATAATAATTCTTTTCTCATAAATATTCTTTAACTATGTTCAAGTTATTATTGTACTTATTCGTTTCCTTTTTTGAAAACTTCAGGAAAAAAAAATTATTTATATGTTAAATATAAATATGTATGAATTGCAATAAGATGTTCATCATTCGTGTGAGACCCGTTAGTGACGAGCTTCTGAATTTCTTTATACAACAAAAGACCGTTGCTAAACGGGTGTCTAATGAATGAATGTGTGTATGTTTGCGTAGCACCATCATGAGTAGAATTACTTGTGATATTATCATTTTACTTACTTGAATAAAATTATTATTCTTTCTTTTTTTTTTTATATTTTTTTTTGCTTCTGTCATTTCTCGACCGATCGATTAGTGATGAATCGTGCTTATGCATTGTCGATTTATGTTGGTAAGACTTATACTCGGCACACGTTCGCATCAAATATTCACTTTGTATAATGGGCACAAAAAGAATGAGAGAGATCGTTTTTTAAAGAAGAAGAAGAAGAAGAAGAAGAAGGAGAGAGAGAGTGAGAGTGAGATTCGATCTGTCTCGGGAATGGTCGACAGCTGATCTTTCGTCTATATATGTGTGTCGAGTAAAAAATTAACTTGTACGTTCTCTCCCGTTTTTTTTTTTTTGATTCCATCTTGAATCACTCAATCAAGCAATCGAATGATAAGGTATGGTGACGGCAACGACAATCACCACACATACAAATCGTTCTAACAGACATGTGAATGCTTCGACAATTAGATGCAATGAATGAATCAGTAAGAACAAGAAAAAAAAATATAGAAAAAAGAAAGAATGAATGATGTGCAATCGACTATGGAAGAATGAACATAGTAAAGAGAAGAGAAAGAAGAACAAGAGTACACACAGTTGGTGCCAGACATTACAGTCAACCTCTTATATCTTTCGATACAACATCCGGTGTCATTTTATTCTGTAAAGAGAACAACATATAGTTGATGATGGGTGAATGTTGTTAAACTCTTCCACATATTGCTATGCCTCATCAATTCAATATGTTCATATAGAGATTTTAGAATTAGATACAAACTTATCAAAATATCTCATGTGTAAACTTCACATTCTAGTATTTTATATAATTGTTTAAATGATCAATGATGCATTTGAATAGATATATATTATATCTGTTAAATTTCATTATTACCATTTTCTTAAAAATTAATATTTACGAATAATTGAAAGCTTAACCATAATCATATATTTTAGTTCTAACAAACTGTTGCTTTATAAGTCCAATATCCAATGGCAGTAGTTGAGAAAATAGTCAACAGATTTTGCTTGTGTTTTTTAATTAAAAATATAGATTAAGTTTCTTTATTTGTCGAAATTGAATTAAATTTCAATTATAGATGTAATTCTAAATTAACTTAATCTTTCGAAAAAGATGATCAAATCATTCTTATAAATAATGAATAAATTCAAGTTTACGACAATGTCATATATTCTTACTTGGGTAAAAAAAAAAATAGCACCGAAAACGATATAAGATGGTGCAAATAGTAGAGGCAACGATGTTCGTTTGCTAGAGAAAATACGGGTTGATGAATTATGATGAAAACTAATGGAATAATACATCTTTTCAAATCGTTTAAGATGCAGTTTTAAAAGATGGAAATGATCGCTCTGTACAAGGCATATAAAAGAAAACAATGAGGTTTGAAGAAAAAACCAAGACTGAAATAAATTATTCAAGATTTTATTCTATCAAATGTCAAATGTAATTGCCGTGATTATTTACACATGGTTGCATTCCTTCAAGTCATTGATTGAAAGTTTTTTTTTCTAAACATCTTTGTTATGGCATGGTGCAAGAACTGTGGGTTGCTGTCATCGAGTATATTCTTTTTGATCAGATCGAATAACCTGAAATTATATGGTGGCAAATTCTGACACTTTGATTCTTATCCAATAGTTTTAATATCTTTCGATTCGGAATACTTACGATTGACCAAAAGTTCTGGTAACGTCAAATAAAAATATAAAGATAAGGAGATATTTTTAATTGTATTTTATCAAATGCTCAGAATAGTTGTCATGATTATTTATACCAAATTTGATCCTTTCTAATAGTTTGTTAAAAGTTTTTTTCAATTATGTTTCTAAAAAAGTTTTAGCTACCTTGGAAACCGCATGAGCACGCCCTATTTCATTTATTTAATCAGTTGAACTACATTCGACAGAATTACTTAATCATAGATTACGTAGTGTTAGGTATGATGAATATGGCGGATGTAACATTATATTGATGTCTTCTTCTGTCACATAATTAATAACATTGCATGAGTATGAAGTCAATGACGATCGCCAACCACCTTTGAACCTGATGTCTCTGTCAGTTTCCATAGTTCATTAATACAAGGCTTCGGATAATTTTCAATGTAATACTTGTGACTTACAGTCTTGCCTTTATCTGCACACAGGGCTATTTGATTTAAAGAAAATACCAAGGAAAGGTTTAGTTCCAATCTCTCTTCATGAACAATAGTTTTTGACGATCCATCTCCAATAGGTCAGCTAGCATCAAATGACTTCAGACTTATCTGTAATAAAATAAATCCACATCTGAATGGCTGAAAATTTTACGAAAAAGTGGATATTTCTGCTGATAATGACGTTTTGAAAGTGGAAATAATTAATAGTTCTTTTTTCGATCCTGCATTTTCGGGAAAAGTTATGCACATTTATTGCGTATGTGCTGTAATGTACTGGTTTCGAATCATTTTTCATTATTTCTGGTGATTCAGTGTTTATTCAGATCAGCGGTATTTGCGCTTTCGTATATTAGTATATTATGTTAGAAGAATTTATTCCTGCCAAAGAATAGTCTTTCTCCTTATATGGCACAATTACATAATCTTTTATCAACATTCATTCTTTCTCTTTTAGTATTTTTTTTCTTGTGGTATAATGGGAGTATGTCAATGAAAAGGAATGTATATATTTATTTTTATTTTTTTTTGTTGCCTTTTTTCAAATTGAATTAAAAAAGAAAGGGTCTAACACAGTATGTTCTGATCTTTATTTGTTGATTAGTGCAAACCGCTGCCAGTCACATTGATCATTGTTAAATCTCTAATAAGTTTGATATTTTCGGGTGTGGATGTGGATGCGCTTATGCGTGACCGTGCTCGTGTCCGTTTTTACATTGTGTAACCACAGTCACAGGCACAGGCACATAGCCGCATACCCATATCAACATCCTTTTCGTTTTGC